TGATTTTAAAAACCCCCCATCCCTTTCAAAACTATGGAAATGTTTGTCTATTAAAAAAAACCCAAAAAAAAAAAAAAAAAAAAAGAAATGCAATGAAGTTTATCTAAACATGCAAAATTGCAAGGAACATAAATCCTTTTCTAATGTACTCTACCTGTAAGAAGACAAGTAAATGTAACCTCAGAGTGAGTTTCCTGTGCAATTAGCATTTCTCATGTTTTTAGCAAGCCAAGGAAAGAGCAGAGTGGGCAGCCCCTGTGTGAAGGAGCTGTCTTAATCCATGTGTTTAGCAAGCACCATCTGTTCCTTTTATTCAGATGGGAGTAGAAATATTTGGTTGATTAGGAGAGGATCTGTGAAGGATAGCCACACCGTTACCAATGGTTACAAAGGACACACATGCTCGATTCCGTCAACTGGTGTCTTGGAGAGCAAAACGGGAGACAGACACAGACATCGCATATGTATCCCGGTTTGAACACACAAGATGCAAAAGTGTTCAAAACAACTGAAGACTGCACAGAGAGTGCGATTGTTACACGGTACCACGCTTAGAGATAAAGCATGTTTATTATTATTATTACCAGTGTTATTTAGGTCAGGCGTTAAAACAAGGTCAGCTTTTGTCTTTTGTTGCAAGCGTAGACGCTTTCAGAGTTCGGGTGTTTTCCTCTAAGATGGTTTGTGTCAAGTACTTCAAAATGTACACTCGGATAAACACGCAGGACATTTTTGATTTGCTCAAAATGGGAACGTGCTTACTCAACAAAAATATATTGTGTTGAAATTTGCCACGTGATTTTATGCTTGTTTGTTTTACACATTCTTCTCTCGGTGTACTCGACGTGCTTTCTGAAAGACGTACATCTAGCAGCTGAGACGGACACGAAATAAGTCGGATTTTGAGCCAAGTGAACCGTTTCTCCGGATATTCGGCCTCGTGTTTCCATCCTGCTGATAAAACCCGGAATTTTATTTGAAATGCATTCGTATGTGTAGACAAACAGATTTAGTAGAAGTACATTCAATAAAAAGGTGTGATTTTATGTGCTCCGTGTCATTAGGTGCAGACCTGGGCGGCCTCATGGACCTGGAGTCTCTGTACCGTGGCGTGCAGCAGAGCATCAACAACACACGGGCCTCCCGGGTGCGCCGGCAGAGTCTGGACAGGGCCTACAACATCGAGGTGCTGCTGGGCGTCGACGACTCCGTGGTCCAGTTTCACGGGAAGGAGCATGTGCAAAAGTACCTGCTCACGCTCATGAACATCGTAAGTGTCCGTGTCTCTGGGTTTTAGTTGGATCCACACGGAGGTTCTCAGACTTTCTGAAACCCACACCTGTTCGCCTGCTTTAGATTGAATTAAATTAAAATATTCTTCCATTTGAGTTGAAAAGAAAGTCACAGAGAGGTCAAAGAAACGTAGACAGACGCACACACACGGGCCTACACACACACACACACACACACAATGAATGGGGATTCAATTCCCCTCCTACATGTGAAAGGATTACTTGCAATCAGCCACAGGTAATCCTTTCTTCTCTGTCTGAATATGATGAGATTTCATTTGTGTATAACTGTGTGTGTCTGCAAGGTGCTCTGTCTGTGCTAAAGGGGCTTCCACATATCTTTTCATCAGGATTTGTGTCATATCATCATTCTTTGTGTGTGTGTGCGTGTGTGTGTGTGTGAGAGAGAGAGAGAAAGATGCAGAAACAGCAGGTAGTCTGCTCCGGGCCACAACAACACTTAGCACTCACGCTCCCAGGTGTTGTCACAAATGTGTGTGTGTGTGTGTGTGTGTGTGTGTGTGTGTGAGCTCGAGTGTCACACTCCACACTTTAATCTTTGCAAATTAAACCTGTGGTGAGAGTGGTGTTTCCATGCATCCGTTTGTGTGTGTGTTTGTGCGAGTGCCGCTGTTTGCTTTTGCTTGTACTGCGACCCCACTGCGCCAGGAACCAGCCTCCGACTGTTAAGCAGGTGCAGGCGCAGAGCTGCAAATCCTACCACACCTCTTTGTCTCAGTTCAGCGCTTGGAAAAGAACAAGAGCTGCCGTTGCTCCCTACCTCCCCTTTTTAGATATTTGTTAGACAATATAGGCGAAGGGAATACGCAGCCCTGTCGCAGCCCCACTTTAATCTGCGGGGAAGAGATGGAGGGGGAGGAAGGGGGGGGGGAGGAAGGAGTATTTTAAACAGCGCGTTTGGAATAAATTACTGACAGCCAGATAAACAGAAATAAATAAATAAGGGTTTCCTCCCACGCGTGGCATCTGGGCGACTTTCTTCTTGAAAGTTTGCTTTGCTCACTTCAGGATGGGTGTGCGATGTCTGACTCTCTCCCTCTCTCTGTCTTTCTCTCACTCTCCCCGGCTGTCAGCAGCACTGCTTGGGTAGTTTTATGGCAACAAATCTGCATCAGCGTGAAAAAAAAACAAAAAAAACTTAAGAAATACAATGCAAGAGGTAGGAAAGGTTTAAAAGAAAATACTTTTGGTGAAAAGAACATTTTGGAAAATGACAAGCTATTGTGAAACAAAGTCCCATGAACACAACAGAGCAATGGGTAATTTTATTCTTTTACTTTTGAAGCAAATACATCTAATGTATTTACATTAAATGGCAAAATGTATAAAAGAGCATAATCGTGAAAAAAGGCTAAAAAAAAAATATTCCTGACAAAATTAGCTAAATCTGTGCATGAGATGGTCATTTTGTTTTGGGTATGTTGTTTAACATTTTTGAGTTTCCAACATGTTAAAGTTTACATTTGGCCAATTTTAGTTGCATAGAATCATGTCACAAGGATTTGCTCAAAGTCATTTATATTCTTACTGACATTTGCCAGTTTTCCTCATTATTAGTAATGGTCAATACCTGGAAAATAATAGGTCTGCACAGTAAAAATGGTAGCAGAAGAAGATTATTTATACAGCATAGAACATGAAATATTAACCTAACCTAGGCAAAATTTCCATGAGGTAACTTTTATAATAGAATCTGTTGGAAAGGCCTTCAAATTATTTTGAAGTTATTTTCACCCTTTTCGTCTTCTTCACGTTTGCGTAATGCGATAATTTTCCAGCTCTACTTCTTTCGCCTTCGTATTTCCACCTGTGTGTTAAATGAACTCTGCAGAGAGCCGAGGGCCAAGGTGGATCATCTGTTTGTGTTTGTGTCGTTTGAGGTGCAGAAAATAATTGACATTACTGCTGTCTGCAGGACATCAAAGCACGCCTACAGAAAACCATTGAGTCCTGTCTGCAAAGTTCAGGAGTGTCAAAATCTGTGTGTGTGTGCGTGTTTGCGTGTGTGTTTGTGTTTGTGTGTGGGTGTGTTTATTTGCATGTGCATGGTAGACTAAATGTGTCTTTGTTTATATTCTGTGCTTCCCACTAATTTCCCATGTGTTTTCTTCTTCTCTTTTTTTTTCCTGCTGTATTAATCGGCTGACAATTTCTCCAACCAAATGAACATTTAAATAATCTTTGCAGCGACTGTATTTTGTTAAATCCCTATCTTGTTTTTACCTGCTTTTCCTTGAAATGTGTTGCTGATACCACAACGTGGCAGTAATCCCCCAAGTCGTTGGCAAAAACAGCAAAGTCCAGCAAAGAAAACTCCTTTTTTTTCTAGGTTATTTGAGTGTGTGTTGAATTCAGAGGTCCAGCAAAAAAATAAATAAAAAAATTAAAAACAAAACAAAAAAAAAAAACATAGATATAATTATTTACAAAATTATATCTTGTTTTAACTTCAACCTGAGAGGTAGAAGTTAGTTGAATGAATGAGAAAGTATCCATCCTGTCCCCAACTGGAGCCTCTGCAAGTTTTTACTTTTTTGTTGAGGTCTCTGAAATTCATCTGCATAAACAAAGAATTTGTCTTGCTTGACATGAGACTGAGTAAAGCTAATATTGAGTCGTTGCTGCAACGGTAGCGTAGCAATTACATATATTTCATAGCAGTAGTGCCTCATGGTGGTATGTATGGTGTCTGTATTTTCTGATGCTTGTGCCACAGAATCTTATCAATGTTATCAATGTTTTCTAATTGGAAAGCTAATAAAAATGTTAAGCGAGATGATGGCATCCATTGACGCGATGGATCACACCACTTAGATTTGACTTGATTTTTCTTGTAAATCACCCTGAGATCATGTTTTTTTTTTTTTTTAATTATAAACATAAAATCTGATTTGAACTAAAGCTATTCTTGAACGTTCACTGACACAGGCTTGTTTCTGGGTGTTACGTTCTCACATTAACACTGCATTTAGCACAGTGTGCATTATTTAAAACAAAAATGGAAGCGAGTCACTGCTCTGGGTTCTGTAGGAACCACGTTTCATGTGATGTGTGTTCATGTGGCGCTCTGATATTCCAGGACTAAGGAAAACAGCGATGAACTAAAGAACTTGGGGTAATCTGTCTGTCTACCTGTCTCTCACTCATTAGTAAGACCTTTACAAGGGAGCCACAACGCGTTAATCACTCGCTCCGAGTATATTAATAGTCGGTGCTGAAAAGGGTGGTTTGTTTATCTGTGCATTTTTAATTTTGATGAGCCCTATTAGTAAACTGATCTGCATTTTGTCTGCCTATGTTGTGTGTGGTAATTATCATTTTTGTAAAGGTTGCAGGAGATCATCAAAATCATTCTTTCTTTTTTTTTTCCTTTACAAAACCTTCTTCAGCCAGTGAATAGACACAATAATACATGAAGGGAGAAGGTGGGAAAGCGAGTGCACTACAGGTAGGAATAGACTCGTTAGCTTGTGACAGATACTTGGTTTAAAAGCCACCAAAGTTCATGGGCTCAGCATAGTATTCCCAGTTGTGTTGACTAAAAGAGATATAAAAGTCACGGCAAGGCTTATCTAGTTTATGTGACTCTTTTGCCAGGTTTTGTTTTGATTGCTCCGTCCTGCCTCATCAGCAGCTGACAGTGTTTTATTTTTTTGACAAATTTTCCAAAGTGACGAAATGAAGCGTCTTGCACCTTCAGTGACAACAGTAAAAACCAGTGACACCGAGTTTTAAAGCACTGTGTTAATGAACATATTTTTCCAAAAGTGACAGTGAAACTATTTGTACCTGTCAAACTGTTCATCATAAGTGGTAACAAAATTCAAATCCAAAAACATAAATTAAATAAAATTCAAGTACATAAGCAAGCATTGTGTTTTTTTTTTTTAATATTTTTATTTTTAGATTAAGGTGTTCTAATTTACACCTGTGCTCCGGTACCGAACATATATGCTTCCTTTTCACACAAAAAAATCGTGTTGAGTAAATAAGATGTTGTACTTTCGCCGCGCTCAGAATGCTTTTAAGTAGAAATTTCTTTCTCATTAGACTTGAGTCGATGCCACCCTGGTCAACTGGAAGTCAACTGGCCCTAACTGGCTTAGCAGTTGTCAAGGAAACGGGCTGGATTAGGCACAACACAGACTGACCCTCCCAGATGTCCACTTCTGTCAAACAAACACGACTGACAAACGGATGCCGAACGACTTGTTCCCAAGATGACAAGGGTGTGAGACAAAAGTTATGAAACCTTGGCAGCAAAAAACCAAGATTTGACAAAACATGAACAACACGGACATGCAGGTTCTCCATCAATTAATTTTGAAGCTATTATGGGATACCTAATTAATATAATTAAATAAGTATTCATTATGGCACAGTGAAAATGCTTGCTACAGAAAAACACATCTATGCTGAATTCAAAAGACTAAGAAAAGGGAAAGCAAAGATGTGGGACAGGGTTTCTTTTCCATGAATGTCATCTCTGAAATTTGATAAATGGAAGCTGAAAGAAGGACCGCGTGATTTGTGTTAGAAAACCTTCTTATTCAGAAAAAGAGAGACAGCAAAACACCCGCATGATCTGTCTGTTAAACTGTGTTGCATTTGTACCTTAATCAAGTGATCAAAATGCGAGTGAAGGAAAAGGTAGCAATATCGGTTCTTTCCTAAGGTGTCTAATATGTGTAGACACAATTCTGGTTCATTTAAAATACTTCAAATCTGCAGAACAGTCAAAATATTGAAAGACATTCAGATTACCCGAATGAATATTGATTGGACTAATTTTAGCCAAATCAAGTCAAATTTGATTTAAACAGCTGAATCTGGCCAAAGTGCTTCACAAGTCAGGAGTTCGACTTGTTCGGTATTGTAATTTAAGTAAATGCTAAAAGGCAAAGCTGTTTTTTTTTTTGTTTTTTTTTTAAATCTTAAAATAAACAAATGAGGAATAACTCAAATCTTCTGCACAACGCAAAGATTTAATTTCATTAAAACATCTTAAAAGTTGCAGTTGTGCCGTCACAAAATAAGAAGTTCAATGCGTGCAGACGTGTTCGCGGGAGACATTTCATTCCAGGAGTTAATCTCAAGTGTATTGTGAAATTATGCTAAATATTATTTACTCCTTAAGGAAATGTAAGTAAATACTGAGCGTCCATACAAAGAACGTATGACGGTGATGATAACGGCCCCCTCCACTGTAATCGCTTCAGGAGGAACAGGTCTAATGCTTCTGCAGTAGTAAAGTGGGTAAAGGCTGTGAAAGCATATGTAATGTTCTCTGCTTCTTGTTTACAAGACCCAAACAAACTATTATTCTGTTTTCACTGCTTTACAGAGAGCTAACTGTGCTGCTGATCACACTTAAGAGTGCTTGCCCTTGCTGAGCTCCATTCCACATGGCAATCAAAACACAGAATAAAAACCTCACATAAACCCAAACAAGACACTTGATAAAATATTCATTCCAAGCTTTCACTATATCCACTTTATCCTGTACTGACTCGGGAGGAGGATGGAAAGCATCTCAGCAGTCATTGTGTGAGAGGCAAGGTCCACTCTGAAGCTGTATAATGTATAAACAATTTTGGACTTTCATCACAGTGCGTCTCTCAGCTGGGGACACGAGTCAAGCCCTTGTTGAATTAGATTATAACAACCAGAAAAAAATACCCTCACAGCCGTTTTTAATCAGGTTGGCTACACCGACTCCATGCTGCAGAAAATCCTAAGTAAGCATCAAATGTCAAACTTTCAACCAGAACACGGGAATATGAATCCTGTTTGGCTTTTCTTGCTATTTCAGGTCGTGCTTAAATTGGGTTTTCTTGTTTTGTCTGTCTCTTTGCTTGCTATTCCCAGGTGTGTCACAAAAAAAAAAAAAAAAAAAAATCTCGCTTCCTAAAACTGTGTTTTAAGCATTCGTGTTTTTCTAAGAATTTCCAGCCAACCCAAAACAGAGAAGCAGACGTCCCAGAAGATGGAAAAGATCTGAAGCAGTCAGAACAGTTAATTCTTTAAACAGCTGCAAAGTAACTTTGAGTGCTGGCTGCAGGACCGGTGGGTGGGCAAGATCTGTTCAGAGATGCTTAAGGTTGCAGACATTGCGGGAAAGTTGTTGATATCCCTCTTTGGTGTTAGATGGAGAGACAAACCAGGCTGGTGGTCCCAATTTTTAAGTAAGGGAACCCGAGAGTGTGTTACAGTTTTTGAGGAATTTCTATTGTCAGACTCCAGGTGAAAGCTTACCGTATAAGGACAGGACGCTCCAAACTGATTGTCGAAGCTTGAGATTAGGAGGATCGGTGGACCAAACCCTTACTCTGAAATTAACCAATTGCTGATGAAGTGATGGAAGTTTGTTTTTCTGGCCCAAATGGGTGTCGTGGATTTGGAGAAGGTTTTCGACCGTATCTCTTGAGACGTTTTCCAAGGGGATTGCTTACCCAAAGTTGTAGTTGTGGCATCATTCTCAAAAAGTCGAAGCTTGTTACCAGTGCAGAACTTGGGAAACGGATACACAAATTGGGACTTTGTTTGCAGTAACTGGTGGTAGAAAAAGTTTAAGCTCCATGTACCTGCTTTCCCCCAAACCTCAAACAGTGAATTGTTCCATAACTTTTCTATTTTCATGTGAAAGAAGTTGTGATAGATTCAGATATACTTTTTAGGAGTTGTAGCTGTAGTTCCAAGAATATAACTTATTTTATTGCAGTCCAGTTATTTTGTCTTCTTGTTCAAACATCCTGATGTAATTAAGTGAATTATTTGTGCTTAGTTGTTAACAAATAGCTTTTATCGTTATTGTGTCATTCTCAATAGGAGGTTTGGAGCTTGGTGTTTACTTTTGTAAATGAAAAGGAGGAAAATCTAGCTTTTTTTTCCCTTATCCTCTTCTTTCAACAGTAATTGTTTCTCTGCTACTTCGGGATATAGTTGCTTTCTAAGAACTCATTCCTTTTCCAGCTCTTCTCTGCATGTTTTCCCCACTGCATTCAGCTTCTTTCCTCTGTTCCTTTGCCTCTCGGTCTGCGTTCGAAGCATTCCACAGCTTCCCCTCATACCTGTCTCTTGCTCCATGTCTCTGCAGTGTTTTCTCCTCATCGCTGCACCTCTCTGTGGGCAGAGTGTGTGTGTGTGTGTGTGTGAGTGTGTGTCTCTGCAGCATGTCCATCAGCCATCTCATTATGGCTGTCTGTTTTTACATCCCTTTGCCTCATTAAGCACCAAACACAGCCACTGAGGACAGCAGGCCTTGACTTTAGTGCCAATTTTCCCTCTCTCTCTTTGGCTTTGTGTCTCTGTGTGTCAGGGTGTGTGTGCCAGAAGAGTGCTTTCTGCATCTCCCTTGTTACACATTACCTTGTTTCCTTGCATTAGGCACTTTCCATCCTTTGCATCTTCTTCATGTCCTCTTCATCTTTGCTCATGGGAGCCCAAATTTCCTTACAATCTCCTAATTGTTTCTTGCTCCCTTCTCTCCCACATTTGTTAGTCCTAAATAATATATTTCTTGGAGTGGGGGCATTTATCACCTTCTTTAAGG